CCGTCGCCGCCGCCGATGATCAGCACGCGCGCGACGCCGCCGTGCGCCAGGATCGGCAGGTGGGCCAGCATCTCGTGGTAGATGAACTCGTCGGCCTCGGTGGTCTGCACGACGCCGTCGAGGGTCAACACCCGCCCGAAGGTGGCGTTGCGGAAGAGCTGGAGGTGCTGGTGCGCGGATTTTTCCTCGAACAGCACCTCCGCCTTGCGCAGCCCGATCTCCAGATCCCGGTGCAGCGTTTCCCGGAACCATTCGCTCACAGCGACTGGCCCCGCAGATGCTCGGTGACGGCCACGTAGCTCGGCGCGAAGCCCTCGCGCAGCACCTCGACGGCCTGGTGCGGCTGCGCGTCGCCGCACATGAAGATGTCGAGCGCGGCGTAGTCGCGCTCCGGCCAGGAGTGGATCGAGATGTGCGATTCCGCCAGCACCGCCACGCCGGAGATGCCGTCGTTCGGCGTGAAGTGGTGCAGGTGGATATGCAGCAGAGTCGCGCCGGCCTGCTCGACACAGCGCGTCAGCACCGCCTCGACGTGATCGAGCTCGTCGATGCGCTTGGCACCCCAGAGGTCGACGATCAGATGCGTGCCGGCAAACTCCTTGCCGTCGCGCACGATGAAATGGTCCTTCCGCTCCTCCGAGGTGGAGAGAGCGTCAGAGGGTACTTCCTCCTGGGTGGTGCTTGAACCTCGATCCAAGTCCATCCCCAATTGGAAGAGGGCGGCATCATGAGACATCTCGTCCTCCCCAACCAGCAGATGAGCCCCGCCGGAGCGTCCGGCGAATGAGCCGCGCGATATGACGGTTTCCCCGGCGGAAATCAAGGGGCGATTGCGGGAAATGCGGCAGGATCGCCGGGGAAGAGCCCTGCGTTGCGCGCATGCGCAAGACTCGCAACCCGCCCGTGGTCCCGCCGCAAGATTCGAAGCTGGGCGCGGCCGTCCCTTGGCCGGCGTGCGCGCATTTTTTCGCATGTCACGGTGAACCTTTGACCCGGATCGGCGTTCGCGTCATCAAGGGTTCCCAGACGGGAAGGTGAGGACCGCATGGACGAGCCGCGCGAGAACGTGCTGGGCGAGCCGCTGGAGGGCTGCTGCAGCGACCCCCTGACGGGCTTCTACCGCAACGGCCGCTGCGATACCGGTCCCCAGGACCGGGGCCTGCACACGGTCTGCGCCGAAATAACGGAAGCCTTTCTGGCCCATGCCAAGGCCCGGGGCAACGACCTCTCGCGGCCGCGGCCGGAGCGGGCCTTCCGCGGCCTGCGGCCGGGCGACCGCTGGTGTCTCTGCGCCGCGCGCTGGCAGGAGGCCTTCGAGGCCGGCGTGGCGCCGCCGGTCAGCCTGCGGGCGACCCACAGGCGCGCCCTCGAGGTCTGCCGCCTGGCCGATCTCAAGGCCCACGCCCTGGACCTGAGTTGAGCGGCCGCCGGCCGGGCGCCGCAGCGCCTCGGAGCGTTGCCCCGCGCCGGCAGGCCCGCCGGCGCGGGGCCATGCGATCACAGCCTGCTCTGACAGCCTGCTCGAGAGCGATCTGCGACCGCCGGACGCGCTGACGCGCGTCTGAACGGTCGCAAATCGCTCTAGAAGATCCCCTCGAAGACGCCGCGCTCGCGCCGCTCGATGGTCGGGGCGCCGGCGCCGGTCACCGGCTCGCCCAGGGCGCGGCTCTCGCGCAGGCGCCGCGCCTCGGCCTCGGCGTCGACGATGTCGCCGCTCGGCTGGGCGTCGCGCCAGAAGATCAGCGCCTCCAGGAAATCCTGGCTTTCCTCGTTGACGCGCTGGGTCTCGCGGTCGACCACCTGGCGGATGTCGGGCTCGGCCTCGTCGGCGCCGGCCTCGACCAGGATGGCGCGCTCGCCCAGGGAGCGGCCGTCGTCGGGCATCACCTCGCGCACGCTCGGCTGCTGGTCGCCGAGCCGGAACACGGTGCGCCGGGCCTGGTCGGTCGGGGTGCCCACCTGCGGGCGCGCCGCGCCGGGCCGGGGCGGGCGCAGCGCGAACTCCGGCGGCACCGTCAAGGGCGCGCGCGAGACCACGCGGAACTCGTCGGGGGACTGCTTGTCGAGGCCGAACTGCTCGCGCACGCCGCCGCAGCCGGCCAGCGTCACCGCGGCCAGGGCCAGGCAGAGAAGGCGGGTCCGACGCATCATCGTCCTGCGCATGATCGTTTTCGTACCCCTAGGGTTTCCAGCCGCCACCTTTTACCGCTTGGGGGCCGGTGCGAACAAGCCGTCAAGCAGCAGCAGGCCGACGCCGACCACGATGGCGCAGTCGGCCAGGTTGAAGGCCGGCCAGTGATAGCCGGAGAGATGGAAGTCCAGAAAGTCGACCACGCCGGGCTGGGTGAAGCGGTCGATCACGTTGCCCAGCGCGCCGCCGACGATCAGCCCGGCGCTCAGACGCGGCAGCGCGCGGGTCTGACTGCGCAGCCAGGCCAGCAGGCCGGCGACGATGGCCAGCGCGATGCCGGCCAGCAGGTAGGGCTTCCACCAGTAGTCGCTGGCCAGCAGGCCGAAGGCGACGCCGCGATTGAAGGTCAGCACCAGGTTGAAGAAGCCGGTCACCGGCAGGAACTCGCCGGGCTGCAGCCGCTCCAAAACCAGCCCCTTGGCGATCTGGTCGGCCAGGGTGACCGCCGCGGCCAGGGCGAGCGTCGCGGGCGGCAGCAGCCGCCCGCGGGCGCCGGGCTTGGAGGTCTCGCCGGTCACGCCCGGCTACTCCGCCGCCTTGATCTGGGCCACCGCCTCGGCGCAGCGCCGGCAGGTCTGCGGCGCCTCGGGCACGGCGTCGACCTCGGGCAGCACCTTCCAGCAGCGCTGGCACTTCTCGCCCTCGGCCAGGTGCGGCACCACCCACACGCCGGGCACCTCCTCCAGGCTGTAGGCGTCGCTCGGCCCGTCGCCGGCCACCACGTCGATGCCGGAGACGATGCAGACCTCGGCGAAGTCGATGGAGTCGACCGCCGCCTTGGCCTCGTCGTCGTCGACCCAGACCTTGGGGTGGGCCTGCAGGGAGGCGCCGATGCGCTTTTCCGCGCGCTCCAGCTCCAGCGCCCCGGTGACCGCCCGGCGGACCTGGCGGATGCGCGCCCACTTGGCCGCCAGGGCGTCGTCGCGCCAGCCCTCGGGCACCTCGGGGAAGAGCCGCAGGTGGACCGAGTCCGGCGCCTTGCCGCGCTGGCCCCAGGCTTCCTCGGCGGTGAAGCAGAGGATCGG